AGTTGGACATGACTTTGTGAGTGAACAACAACAACATATTCTGTGTACTACTTTCTCAAATGACAACCACACCTGTTTTCATGGAGGATATTTAACATGGCAAGCTCCTGTTCATGTGGGTGATGTGTGCTATTCTTTTAGCCTCCCTTTGCTGCTACAAACAGGCTAGTGTGGCTTTTAAGTACTTTTGAGCCCATGCCCCTCCTTCTCAAGATAAGGAGAAGCTGACTACTAACGCGTTATGCACTGAGACCTAATCACCTTGATTCATCACAGCTCCTTTCGCAGGTATATGAAGAACTGTGAGGCACTGCTTGCATTTCTACCAATATAATCCTCCAACTTGACATAAACAAACATAGAAGGGATTGAAATAGAGCATGAAAGCAGTGAAATCCAGAGACTTTTCTCCACAAGGAAAAACAGTGTACGGGAAGAGTGCTTTAGGAGTAAAAGATTCAGCACACACATTACCTGCTAGAGTTTGGTCAAATCCTCACATTTAGTTTAATAATGTGCAACATGCAAACAAAAATGATCACTCTGACTAGCAGACAGAAATACTGTGAGATTCAGAGACAATGCATAAGACTATGCCTTGGGAAGCTATACTAATAAAAGTTATCAGGTTGTCTAGAACTATGGACAGAGGATCATAACATTGTACAGGAGACAGTGATCAAGACCATCCCCAAGAAAAAGAAATGTAAAAAGGCAAAATGGTTATCTGAGGAGGCCTTACAAAGAGCTGAGAAAAGAAGAGAAGTGAAAGGGAAAGGAAAAAAAGGAAAGATATACCCATCTGAATTTCAAAGAATAGCAAGAAGAGATAAGAAAGCCTTCCTAAGTGAACAATGCAAAGAAATAGAGGAAAACAATAGAATGGGAAAGATCAGAGATATTTTCAAGAAAATTAGAGATAAGAAGGAAACATTTCATGCAAAGATGGGCACAATAAAGGGCAGAAATTGTATGGACCTAACAGAAGCAGAAGATATTAAGAAGAGGTAGGAAAAAAAAAACAGAAGAACCATGTGAAAAATATCTTAATGACCCAAATAACCATGAAGGTGTGATCACTCACCTAGAGCCAAACATCCTGGAGTGCAAATCAAGTGGGTCTTGGGAAGTATCTCTATGAACAAAGCTAGTGGAGGTGACAGAATTCCAGCTGAGCTATTTCAAATCCTAAAAGATGATGCTGTGAAAGTGCTACAGTCAATATGCCACCAAATTTGGAAAACTCTGCAGTAGTCACGGGACTGGAAAAGGTTAGTTTTCATTCCACTCCCGAAGAAAGGCAATGTCAAAGAATATACAAACTTCTGCACAAGTAATGCTCAAAATTCTCCAAGCTAGACTTCAACAATATGTGAGCCAAGAACTTCCAGATGTTCAAGCTGCATTGAGAAAAGGCAGAGGAACCAGAGATAAAATTGCCAACATCCGCTGGATCATAGAAAAAGCAAGAGTTCCAGAAAAACATCTACTTCTTCTTCATTGACTACTATAAAGCCTTTGACTGTATGGATCACAACAAACTGGAAAATTCTTCAAGAGATGGGAATACCAGACCACATTACCTGCCTAATGAGAAACCTGTATGCAGGTCAAGAAACAACATTTAGAAATGGACATGGAACAACAGACTTTTCCCAAATTGGGAAAGGAGTACGTAAAGGCTGTATATTGTCAGCCTGCTTATTTAACCTCTGCACAGAGTACATCATGTGAAATGCTGGGCTGGGTGAAGCACAGCTGGAATCAAGATTGCTGGTAGAAACAGCAATAACCTCAGATATGCAAATGACACCATCCTTATGGCAGAAAGTAAAGAGGAACTGAAGAACCTCTTGATGAAAATGAAACAGGAAAGTCAAAAAGCTAGCTTAAAACTCAAGATTCAAAAAAACAAAGGTAATGGCATTTGGTCCCATCACTTCATGATAAATAGATGGGGAAACAATGGAAACAGTGACAAACTTTATTTTCTTGGACTCCAAAATCACTGCAGATGTTGACTGCAGCCATGAAATTAAAAGACGCTTGCTTCTTGAAAGAAATGCTATGACCAACCTAGACACCATATTAAAGCAGAGACTTTAGCTTGCCAACAAAAGTCTGTCTAGTCAAAGCTATGGTTTTTCCAGTAGTCATATACTGATGTGAGAGTTGGGCCATAAAGAAGGCTGAGTCCCGAAGAAATGATGCTTTTGAACTGTGGTGTTGGAGAAGACTCTTGAGAGTCCTTTGGCCTGCAAAGAGATATAACCAGTCAAACCTAAAGGAAATCAATCCTGAATATTCATTGGAAGGACTGTGCTGAAGCTGAAGCTCCAATACTTTGGCCACCTGATGTGAAGAGTTGACTCATTAGATAAGACCCTGATGTTGGGAAAGATTGAAGGCAGGAGGAGAAGGGGTAAAAGAGAGGACAAGATGGTTGGATGGCATCACCGACTCAATGGACATGAATTTGAGCAAACTTTGGGATATGGTGAAGGACAGGGAAACCTTATGTGCTGTAGTTCATGTTGTTGCAGAGTCAGACGTGACAGAGGGCCTGAACAAAACAATAAGATAATCAACATCACTTCTCTATTACTCCAGAGAAAGTAAGCTCCACAATCCTATGTAGGCAAACGACACACTGCAGATATGTCGGGGTTGTTTGTGTATGCGTGTGTGTGTGTGTGTGTGTACTGCACATGGGAACCACAATATCTGTGGAGTTAATGAGCTGAAACACAAGAGTTGAAGTATCCTTTGCCCAGAGTTACCTAGCCTTTCATCCTGTCTCCCGGGAAATTTACATATTCTAATCATGAAATCTTGGCCATGTGTTGATTACGGTATATGTTTCTATGGTTGAGTATATCTATGGTTGAGTATATGGTTGAGTATATATGGTTGAGTATATCAAAAAGCTCTCAGATTCTGAAGGTGCAGTTATTGAGACTAGCTGGTCCCAAACAAGCTAATGAGAGTAACTCTCAACAGACAGTGTCTGGAAACAAGGTTATTTTCATCAACATAAGTAGCAGTAAGTAAACCATGATATAACAAGCCCCTTCATAGATCTCATTTACTTAGAGAGGGAGGAATACCAATAAAATACATCAATAAAATAAAAGCAAGCCATATTGGGATACAAATAACATTTAAATGTTCCAAAATATACTAGCTGAGAATCATGCAATATTCTAATTTATTTAATAGCACCAATGTCACAATCAGGCGAGAGCACATTATGTTAAGCACTACAATATACACACATTGCAACTATTTTCAGCAGTAAAAGTAAACTGTCATTAGCAGCAAAACTGCACTGCAACATTCACAGGTAGCATTAAAGTCAAAGTAAAGTTGCTTACAAAAGGACCACAGTCTTGGTTTACACTGCAGTGTCTAGAGGAAGTGCCAACGTCCTGCTGCCCCACTCACATCCAAACTACTATCTGTTGTCAGCAGTCTGACAGAACCACCTTTTCTCCTATCACATCTGGAGCACAACTGATGTTATTTGGAAAAGACACCAATGGTAATCCAGGATGAGACAGTCCTCAAACCACAATGTACTACTTCAGCTGGAAGTTGAAAGCCCTAATCTTCACTCAATCTCAGATACATTCAAAGATACTTGTGGATTTTTATGGATCATCCTATGACATATATTTGGCTTAATGCCAAAATTTATCTACTTTATTTCAACATTTTAATAGAATGAGCTCTTACAGAGAGATAAGAGTATAAAAGAAGTGAAGTCGCCTAATTGTGTCTGACTCTTTGCGACCCCATGGACTGTAGCCCACCAGGCTCCTCCATCCATGGAATTTTCTAGGCAGGAGTACTGGAGTGGGTTGCCATTTCTTTCTCCAGGGGATCTTCCCAACTCAGGGATCAAACCCGGGTCTCCCACATTGTGGGCAGACGCTTTACCGTCTGAGCCGCCAGAGAATCCCATTAAGAGTATAAGGAAAGAAAATTATACCATCAGCCTATTGGACTGGTTCCTTCAGACAGAGAACATAGGGCCACAGACCTTTTAAAAGCTAAAATACACTTAATAGACACATAATCATTATTCCCATTTTAAAAATTAGGAGGTTGAAGACCATTGTTAGCCTTTTCTTGGAAGCTTTAACAGAAAACTCAGAATTTCCACACATGAAGATAATCTATTTCCTGACATAGAATTAACATAACTGATTTGACGGTCAGTTCTCAACTGGAAATTATGTAAGATAATTGACAGTCAAGCTTATTTAACATCAAGCAAACTATAACACCATTTTCTTTTAAAAATAATCATTTAATTTTAACTAGACCTTGCTTCCATTTTGTCCCAGAAGGAAAATTAATTTTTATAAAAACTAGATTTCTTTACAACGTAGTGTTTTTCTCCAAAAGAGTCAGAAATCAAAAAAAGGTAGATAGTGCCAAATATAGGGATAGGGAGGGTGGGGAGCACAGAGGGCTAGAGATAAGGTTAAGAACAGAAATAGAAAACAAACTTACAGTTACCATAGGGTATGGTGGAGAGGAGGGATAAATTGGGATTTGGGGATTAATAGATATATATTACTATATGGAAATTTGATAAACAAGAACCTACTGTATGGCACAGGGAACTCCTCTCTATTATTCTATAATTACCTAAATGGGAAAAGAATTTGAAAAAGAATAGAATGTAAATGCATGGCTGGTTCAAGAAAAAATTTAAAAAATAAATAAATAAAAAAGAAAAAGAATAGATACATGCATATGTATAACTGAATCAATTTTCTATATACCTGAAACTAACACAACATGTAAATCAACTATGCTCCAATATAAAATAAAAATGAAAAAAAGAGGAACAAAAATAGAATTGGAGACAGAGACGGAGTAACTTTCACACAGCACCTTTGTATAGACCATGGGAGAGGCAAGGAGGCACAGAGTTTAGGCTGGTTCAATTGTAAGACCAAAACAAGAACTTCTGAAGCAGAATCTCTTACCCTGAAAAATTCCTTGGTGGAGCCAGAGTCTAATGTCCCATAAGCAATTTCTGTTTGCTTAGAAAGATCCTCGGCACTTTCGATGGGAGACACCATCCTCTCTACAGTCAGGAAGGCAGCTAGGTTAGCCGTGTAGGAGGAGATTATGATCAGGGTAAAGAACCACCACACTCCTCCAACAATGCGCCCAGACAGGGATCTGATAACAAGTACGAAATGCATTTGTAAAGTGAAATGAACGACCTTGTAAGGAAACAAGTTAGCAGTATTATGCAAATGTTGATTTATAGGGAAATATTTGACTTCATATTTTTCAATATATCAGCTAGTTCATGAAACTTGAAATTATTAAACCTTCTGGGCAAGGATTATAGATTCACTAGATCTGATGAGCTATCCAGAGGCAAAACTTCAGATTTCTGAAATTCTTTCACAGTTATCATGGCTACACGTGTAATCTTGTAACAAGCAATTTCTAGAAATGTGTGAATAATCTATCCAATGCTTATAATATTTTATCCACTCATGATATAACTAAACAAAGAAGAGAATCTAGGATCAAGAGCAAAACTCAGAAAAATGTTGACAAACAAAATCAAATATCAAAAATAAAAGTATGCACCATAGATATGACTTTAAACACCAAAGAAACCCTCCATTTAATCCATCCAGTGAAGTTTCAAAACCCTCAAAAAAGGTCCAAAATTTCATTAGGATTTTGTATGTGCAGAAACATAGATGTTAGAAATATAGTACAGGATATAAATGGAAAAAAATGATACTACAGAGTATGACACAAAATATAATTCTTAACACATAAAAATCAGATGCTTCAGGCATGAACTGTGATATCCCTGTTCCTTTGGGCCTCCTGCTTAAGGAAAAAAGAAAACTGAAGGAAAACAAATCAGACATTTAAAAGTTTGCCAAAATATAAATTTCTAGTTTGAAAAATAATAAAAATAAAATTATTTCTGTGACCATAAATTCTTACATAAAATACTTTTCAAAAGCTTGATTTACTTTAAATCCTAGATAGGTAAGTATAGATATGTAGGTATAGAAATAGTTAAGTATAGATATGTAGATATAGAAGTAGTATATAAGGTTTTATTTGGTAAGGTTTAGTGGGGTTCCACATATAAAGGTATTTGAGTAACATTAAAAAAACTATTTTTTTCTCTTTTCTTAATAACTCTATTATGTCTAACAATAAATCCTTCTATAGTGAAGAGGTAACACTTCTAAAACTTTAAATTATGAAAATGTGCCAATTTATGACCTAAACTAAATTTCCTCACAATTAATAATAAGAAATACACCTTTTGATGAAACACAGATACTAAATCAATTATCAGGTAACATCTATATAATAAACTACTCGAGAAGTGAAGAAAAGCAGTGAAGCTAAAAGTAAAGATTTTTTAAATAAAAACATCTGCTGCTAAAATAAAACAGAAAAAGAAACTGTACAGTCAATGAAAAATAAAAACAATATGATGAAGAGCCTTTACCAGTATCTTAGAGATGCAAAAAATTAAACAAATATGATAGAATGGAAAAAGTTAATTCTCACATATTCTGAAAAGGATATTAAGTACATTTTAGATTTGGAGAAACTATGTAGACAAAGTCACTCTCAAAATATTCACTATTTATTCCATCACAACAGAATGTATAATTGTCATCTCATGTACCGTGTATTTAAGAGGGCAGATTCAGTCGAAGCCCTTAAAACAAAATGGATCTCATTGCCTTGGACAGTATACATTGCAGGTTTATTTGCAATATATTTTAGAATCATTTTTATAAATCATTCTGTCTCAGTTGTAAGAAAAACACAAGTTAAAGACATAATGTTGCTCCCTAATCCAGTATTTCTGTCAGGTTTAACTAGATATGCTCATTTTTTGAAGTATGCAAGATAACCCCCAAAGCTTATATAACTTGTGCATCATTCAAAACAGAAAATTATTGAGCAATTAATTATTTACTTGTAAGTATTTTCCAAGGATGAACTAATGCTTCTGAATGAGTTTCTGAGAAATTTTAAGTAGAGGAGCAAATTAAACATTATGTTTTATGGTGACAGATAAAAATGGTTTCTCTTACCAAAAACAAAACTTTCATCTCTCAGTGTCTGCACTAAAGCAGCAAATATATATACATATTCTATCATTTTTCTAATCTCTATTAAATGATTAGTTTAACAATGAAATATTTTAATCATCTGAATCACTTAAGGATATTGGGGGAGAAACCAGAAGGAAACCAGAGAATAAGAGTTAATTTTGCACCATTTTGCTCTCATAATTCTGTGGTCATAGTCTTCACAAAACTATAGTTATACTCTAAACCTAATTTCAGGCAATGACCAATTCACTTCATGTAATCATTCTATATTAAAATTTCAATGTGTTCTATTCATATAAATAAAATAGTTCTTTACCATATTTTATTGAGAAAAAGATGATAAATATCTTTAAAAGTATTTCAAGAGCATATGTAAAGTGATCTGTGCATTTCATGCATTACTATTAATATTATTTTAGATAGTAAGCTGCTCTATCCTTTCCTAGAATTATCATCATTGCATTCTAAAACATGATAGCTTGGTTCCTTTAAAAAATCCTTAAATTTTCCAATATTAGTCAGCATGTTCAATTATCAAATGCACATATAACCATAAATTGAAAGGTACATATACTGAAAATTTTTAATTAAGTGAATTCTCCTTAGATATATATGTATATGTCTATACATATATATCCCATGGCAAATAAAAGATAACAAGGACAAACATGTTATCTAAAATTGTTATATCTTACCAGGAAATAAAAATTATTACATGTGAAAGTGTAGTGAGTCGTGATTCATGAATGAAACCATAAGCAAATAAAAATGGTCATATTTTAGGAAGTAGGCTTTGTTAAAAATTTGAATGTCAATGTGTCACGGGGGGCCCTGGAAAAACAGAGATGGTTAAATGTGGCTTGTTCTCCAGCCCCTATGTGTAAATGTGTTTCTGCTCCTTGACAAGCACTGGACACCCAAAAGAGTGACCTTCAGGGATCTGATACATGAGGAGCAAGGCAAACAAACCTGAGAGTTCATTGATCGGAACCTAGGTCAGTACGTCCTATGTCATAATGAAACTTCATAAGCTTCTCCTGCTTATTCACAAGGCAGAGGATAGTTTGTGGAACTCTAGGATAACTGCCTTATAGCTCAGGGCTATGGTAACATCAAACTTCAGTAACCTTCTTTCCAAAGATGAATCATTTCTTTATTACTTATGAACCAGAATGTTCTCTGAGATTCCAATCTGGTTAGTATTTTTCTTTTTCATCATTAGAAACTTCTCTTCATGTCTTTAATGTAAATCAGATAAACTAAATGTAGAGACAGAACTATGAATCTTGTTTTATCAGAGATCATCATAATCATAAATATCTGATATATGATAATTATTTTCATATATTATGTGTGAAAATTATGTCTCTCTCTATATGCAGTGCAAATACCCTTGGTTTAGTTCTAATATAGTGCAGTTCCATAGAGAGGCCACAGAAAGCTTGATGGAATTAAGACTTTTCAGATTCACAAAGCTCATAAAGATATTCCATACTATTGGAAAAGTAAGTTATTGATACTTTCTGCAAACGTGATATATTTCTTTTACCTCGCTGGGGGAATAAACAGAAAGACTGTAAAAGATACAAAATGTCTTCTGAGCTTCACATATAGCTTTTTGAAGTTAATTATTCTTAGCCCCCAAATGCTCAAAAACTAACAGTAATGAAATAGCATTTAAAAAGCCACTGCCTCTACTAGTTATTAAGATATCCCATAGAATCAAAGGGGGGTAATTAAACCCAAATTAAAATGTGCCAGTAGATCAATAATCATTTAGGCTTTAAATGTGAAATTAATCACATCAGGAAAAGTACCTCTAAAGAACCAGACATGGCTATTATTCTGACTTATGTATGCAACATGCACAAAGGCAATGTGATATATTTATTCTATTTAGGCATTATAGGGCAGGAATTAAAATATCATATAACTGGAGGTGTATGAATTTATTCCATCCTGTGTGCATTACTATTTAATATGGCACAAATATTTCTAATGAATCAGTCATCATCATCCCAACTATTTATTTCTAGATACTTGGAAAATATTTTATCACACATTCTTTTCAGCTCAGCAACCTAACCTTTAAAATACAAATTTTGTAAATATTTCTCCCATATCATTTCCATGAGCTAATAACAACAACAGCAACAAAAAGATGGGATGTGTGAAATGAAGTTTTGTCGCTTTTTAGTTAGTAAGTAATGTTGCCCATTTTCCCAAATACAGGTCTGTGGATCAACACACAGATGACTGTAAAATGAGAATATGCAGCAAAAACACGGTACCCCTCCAAGAAGGCATGGAATGATAGGAACCTTATGCATTTTATAGCCTCTCCATGGTGTGTACAATTTCACCAGGGAAATACAGGACCAACATTCAAAGAACGTTGCTCAAATATTTCACAGGCTTACGCCGGTGGTAAAAGTCTGTCCTTAAGAGTCTTACACTGCTTGAACAGACAGCCGGCAGCTGCTAACTTCTTTACAGTGAATTCATAAACACCATGAATGTCCACTCGAGACCTAAAATGCACAAAGTTGAAGCAGGCGAGTAACCAACCTTGGCGAAATATCGCATCCTTGCTGCATAAAGGCACCCAAGGAAAACCAGAGACTATTAAAAATCCCAAATTCATTAGTTGATTCACTACTTTGTGTTTCTCTTCCATCTTCAAATTCCTCAGTGTGCCACTCGTAGGGGCTAAATCTGCTGACCAGGAATAAAACTACACTGACCCCAATGTAGGCAAAAACAATGCACATCCAGATCTCATAGGCTAAAGGATCAAGAAATGAAAACACTCCTGGTTTGGACTTCTGAGGCTTCTTGATCATGATAGAGATCCCGAGGCTCATAAAGGGCTTTGAGAAATCGATCACCTCCTCTCTCACAAGGGTGATGGTTAACGGAGCGATTGCAATATCAGCTTTCTGCAAGGGAAACAAAGGACAGTAACAGAACCAGGACTCCCAGTCAGAAAGGAATCGTAGTTATGCTATTGAATAAATGGGGAGGACAGGAAATCCAGACATGGGAATGAATATTTCCCTGGTGGAATCCCAGGAAATAATAAACAGAAGAAAATCAATTTGTTCCCCAAATACACCTCCTTTTCAATAAATACAGAGAACACCCGTCTGGCTTGATTATGAGAACTACATCTGTATCCATGCCTTTGCGATCTTTGAAAAATGCATATGGCCCATAGGCTTCAAGACGGATGAAACCTGTCTCCATCTGTATGTTTGCTTCTGACTTCATCCTTCATCTTCAAATGTTTACAAGAAAACAAGACAGTATTCCTAGCGTAATGTGGGAAACCAACAACCTCAGATGTTGGTACTTTGCATGGAAGGCAAGCATTCCCTCAACAAGAGTTCAAATGGAACAGTTTTATCTGTAAGAAGAGTGGTACTTACCCCATATACAAGTTCTCCAACCATCCCATTCCAAATTTTCGTGTCTGCATCCCTGGCCCCATACTTGCCATCCCCAACAATGGTCAACTTGTATTTGAACCCACAATGTTTGGCGATTTCTGCAGCCAAGTCAACACAATAGCCCTCATATCGCTCATTGCCTTCAAGCATTTCATGATTTTTCTTCATCATAACATAGGGGGATTCCTATACAGAAAGAAAGTGCTTTAGGTGTTCAAAACAGCTGTATTAATTCTCTACTCTCATTGATTCAAATCTTCTGGTTTAATTATTTTTAATTATTACCTGTTAGCTAGAGACATTGCAGAATACAGATAGTGGAAAATATGAGGAAAAATTAATAACAACATTTCTGAACAAAGGTCCTCATATATCTCTCATTATATTTCATTTGTATTTCATTAATATGGCTTGTACCTGGCCATACCAAGTAAACAAGAGACTCAAAAGTTAGTATATTCCCATGTCGTGTTTGTAATTCCTAGGGCTTGCTGAAAAATAATGTGTTTCATCATCTGTTTCAGTTAACTCTGGATTGACCACTGTCTTGTTCTAAATTAGGGCTACCTTGACTCCAAAGAACCATCATTCACCCAAAACCTTGTGTCACTACTACTAGTTCAAGGATAATGTTTGTGCTGTAATTAGGTTCATGGCCAGTGATGTGCAGACTGAAAAAGTTGTTGCCATGGTGATTACAGATTCTACCCTCTCAGACTTGAGATCAAACTTCCTCTATGAGAAAATATCCTAGAATTATGCTACACAGGCAGCTAGAGAGTAGCATTCCTCTGCAAACACAATAAAAAGAAGCATGAAAAAATGTTGTAACACCAGCCTGATTTTCTCCACTGGAAAGTGGTACTAAGGCTATGTGGGGTGCAGGGAGATAGTTCTCAGTGGTATGATTAAGGCAAAAATCCTTAAATACCTAGCTTACATTTATTAAGACTTTTCAAAGTGCCAACCAATGTTCTTATTCAAATCCCTTACTAGCCTAACTATATTTTCTTCTCAATATTGTTACCATAATGAATCCCACAAATTCACTGCATCACAGCTTAGTAAAACAAAATAAGATTATTTTGTTGCAAAATCCTACACTATTAGTGAACACCATTTCATTTCCTCCATTTATTGTATCAACAGCTTGCTGTGATGACCTACATCTCCCAACCATCTATCCAGAGCCTCAATGTTCAAGATCCAGTTCAACGTTGTCACTCCATTCAACATACATTTATTTACTTAGCACTAGCTATGTGCCAATTACTATGTGGAGACTTGGGGTTAAAAACAGAGGAGACCACCCTTGTCTTTCAGAAGTTCCCCTTTCCATAGGAAGATAGAGAAGCTGACATTAAACTATGTATTAATAACAAATGTAAGGACAGAACTGACACCATTATTAAACCATGTAACAGATGTAAGGACAGAATGGACCCAGAATAGTGTGGGAGTGGAAAGATGATGGAATACAAGGAAAGCTCTTCGAGACTTTCCCCAGATATTCACATGTGTAAGCACCACTTCGCGTGCATGCTCAGACCCTCAGTCATGTCTGACTCTTTGTGACCCCATGCACTGTAGCCTGCCAAGTTCCTCTGTTCATGGGATTATCCTGGCAAGGATACTGGAGTGGGTTGCCATTTCCTCCTCCAGGGAATCTTTCCTACCCAGGGATCAAACCCACATCTCCTGAAACTCCTGGCAAGCAGATTTTTTACTACTGAGCTACCTGTCAAGCCCCAAACACCAGGTTATGAATTATCTATAAAGCTAAAATTCATTCTTGAAGAGGAGAGGAAATATTTTGAATGCTTTAGCTCATGTTGATGATCCCTTTAAATAGAATAACATGCAGTAAATGACTGAAACATTCAAAAGCATCACCATATCAGTTATTGTCCTAAAATATAAGCAGATATACTAGTTGGCAGATGTTTTTCTAAAGAAAAAATAATGTCAAACAGAGGCATATGTAGCTAATTACCAAAATAGTAGTGACAACAACAGTCTTATTCTCAAGCCCAGAGGTATCATTTCCAGAAGGGAGTTCAGTAAGGGTAACAACCATTTTGTCAACTTCGCTCCAGTATCCGATCTGAAAAAGGACACAGAAAGAGTGAACTTGGATACATGGCCTTTCTATTACCAAAGCACTGAATTATTTTCAAACCCATGTCTGAATCTGAAATTATACCTATCCTAACCAGACTTGTCCTAAATATATAGCTTTGGAAATCCTAGCCATGGCAATCAGAGAAGAAAAAAGACATATATCTTTTAGGTATGTGAATCAAATAAGAATAGAAAGGCACTGCAAAAACCATTCCTAAAAACGGCATGTCTCTTCATGTTCACTTTTCATATTCCCCAAGGGTAATTTTTATGGGTGTGATCATATAGAAACATATATAAAATTCAAGCAATGGCATTTTAGCCATAAAAGGAGAAAAAAAATGTTGACTTGAAAGTTACATGCACATTTCACCGGCTATGTCTGGTCTCCAGACCCATAATCTTTCAGCTATAGTTGTTTTTCTTCTCATTATACTCTTTCTACCTCTGTCTTAAAAAAAAAAAGTACAATCATTTTAGTCATAGTTATTTTAAAATTGTTTCAGTATTACTTACCAGAAATAGATTTTATTTAGAAAAAAAGATTTTAAAATATATGTTTCTGGAGTTGTGGAGTCCATCTATATGAATACATGTCTCCAGGACTCTGGAAGATGAGATGGTGGGTCCACTAACCCACCTCCTCACACAGACAGAAAGCCCTCAATTCACTAATGATTTACCTTCCGGGGCCCATTCGTTTTAAGCTCCATGATGTTAATTGTGTAATTTATCCTTTTTCCATTCTGGTCAAACTTGATATTTCCTGAAAGACCTTCGACCTGCACCTAATAAGGAAATGGGAAAGGATACAGTTATAAATCTCTTCAACCAGACACAAACTGGTTGACCAGAGGACTCTCCCAGGATGTAAGTCAAGAAAATGACACTCATTAGTTTTCTTTTTGCTCTTCAACCCACCTTTGTGGAGGTAGGAAATAATATTCCCTCTACATAAAACAGAAGGTATAAGATAAGAATGACTAACTCAACAGGAAAAAAATAGTGGCCACCCTTAAGTTGCATCGCAAGGATTTTGAGTGACTGACCTGTTTGAGGGCCCTTTCTATTTCTACACCTTGTCCCCAGGGCACCGCTGGGTTTGCCAGACAGTCTCCTGCATTTCCCCTTCTGGAGATTTCAATTCTCTGCTTCCGCAGGTTTCGAAAAGCTTCTGTCATCACTTGAACAGCGTCATATGTCAGAGCAGAAGTATACTGAAAAATATTGCACATTTCATAAGAATGGGAGAAAATTCAATGACTTCCTGTGCACTGGCTAACAGAATTCCAGTTGCTCACCATATGTGCCATATCAGAGTCCAAGAATTTAGACACAATTTCTACTTCTAGAACACTCAGAATCTAAGAGGAGTAGTATAGAATATTGGAACTATGGATTGTCCCCTTGATTCTAAACATTTCAATTATATTATCATCTCATCTATTTCAGGCTGATGTTTTCTAGTTGTGCTGAGTTTTCATTTTTCCAACTAGTTTCTCATTGCAGTATCACTTTATGGCCTGATTTGGTGATACACGGAATTATGAACTTAACAAAACAATATTTCTCCTCTGTCTGAAGAGAGATTCAACTGGAAATATGGGGAGAATACTGATTAATTTCAGGATCCTTACTCTCTAATTCCATCCAAGTGATGCTCAAATAGATCTGCAGTGTTCTATTGTTGGGGTGTTTGTTTTTAAACTTTCCTAGGTGATCATGATAATCAATGAGAAGAACCACCACACTTCACAATTTTTTGTCCCCTGATGCTTCAATAATCTATGATAATATTGGTTCCAAGCTTATGATATTCAGATCTCAGTGGGGCACCAGGATTATTTTAGGAGCTTAGGGTCAAACAGAAAATAACTACTACATGAAATAACTACTACAGAAAATAACTAAGCACCATCACAGGCTGGCTAAGTACTCCAACCTAGGGATCAAACTCAGGTCTCCTGCATTGCAGGCAGATTCTTCACCATCTGAGCCACCAGGGAAGCCCAAGAATACTGGGGTGGGAAGCCTATCCCTTCTCCAGGGAATCTTCCTGACCCAGGAATTGAACCCGGGTCTTCTGCATTGCAGATAGATTCTTTACCAGCTGAGCTACCAGGGAAGTCCCCTGTGTATATACTACAATGAATCAAAGTATAATGCTGCTGTCAGTAATGACAAACCACATTTTAACATAAAAGCTTTACTAACTGCTGAGAAAATTTCTTTATTCAGTATTATTTTAATCTTTAGGTAACAAGTACAGTGAAGCTGGGGGGAAAACTGCAATATCACACTGACCCCACCTCTCTCATCCTCTTGAGGACATTTTTTTTCTGCAGATATATTGTCAACACCTCACATCAGCCTTTTTTCTCTATTGGATCATCTCTATTAGCAAATCCACTGCTCCAATATCTCCTACTACCAATCAGGAGGAAAGAAATACATAGGTAGGTAGATTAGATAGATAGGTGGGTGATGATGATAATGATGATGATGATGATAGGTAATAGATAACTACTTATTAGCTTCCTATATCCCTTCAATTTCCAGCACCTTTTTCTGTTTCTTTCACAGGAGCATTTGTTAAGACAAATTTTCTAAATTTTCACACCAACACTCCTTGCTCTCTCTGTGATGTCATTCATTCTATGGCTTTAAATTACATCCAGGTGTTCAAACATGACTTTCTCAGCAGCACCCTTCATGCCCAGCCCACCCTCGATCACTTTCCTTCATGTGACCTTGTATGTTGGTTTCATATTCGCCACCAGCATCTGAGTATCTTCTTCATGTATTCTTTGTCTAATTGATCTCTTCTCCCCACTAGAACAATTACTCTAAGGAAGCAGAAAACTTATCTGTGACCACTGAGTTCTCAGTTCAGGGCACATTAAGCACACTTAAGAGACTTACTTAGAAGGAAGGGAGGCAGAGAGGAAGGAAGGAAAGAAGAAACGGAGAGAAAAGGAAGGAAGGAAAAAGGGAAGAAGGGAAGAAAAAACAGAGGAGAGAGGAAGGAAAGAAGGCGGGCCAGAAATCTTGATACAGATTCTATCTTTATGGGATTCACATTCCCTCCCAGTTCAGTGAAAAGATACATTAACAGAAAATTGCAATATACCATTCAGTTTATTTCAGTTGATCAGTTGTGTCCATGGATTGCAGCACGCCAGGATTCCCTGTCCATCATCAACTCCCAGAGCTCGCTCAAACTCATGTCCATCGAGTTGGTGATGCCATCCAACCATCTCGTCCTCTGTCATCACCTTCTCTTCCTGCCTTCAATCTATCCCAGCATCAGGGTCTTTCCCAAGGAATCAGTTCTTCTCATCAGGTGGCCAAAGTATTGGAGTTTCAGCTTCAGCATCAGCCCTTCTAGTGAATATTCAAGGCTGATTTCCTTCAGGATGGACTGGTTGGATCTCCTTGTAGTCCAAGGGACTCTCAAGAGTCTTCTCCAAAACCACAATTCAAAAGCAAAAATTCTTTGGTGCTCAGCTTTCTTTATAGGCTGACTCTCACATCCATACATGACTACTGGAAAAGCTATAGCTTTGACTAGATGGACCTTTGTCAGCAAAGTAATGTCCCTGCTTTTTAATATTCTGTCTAGGCTGGTCATAGCTTTTTTTCCAGGGAGAAAGTGTCTTTTAATTTCATGACTGCAATCACCATCTGCAGTGATTTTGGAGATCCCCCAAAATAAAGTCTCTCACTGTTTCCATTGTTTCCCTATCTATTTGGTATGAAGTGACGGGACTGGATGCCATAATCTTCCTTTTTGAACATTGAGTTTTAAGCCAGTTTTTTCACTCTCCTCTTTCACTTTCATCAAGAGCCTCTTTAGTTCTTCTTCACTTTCTGCCACAAAGGTGGTGTCATCTGGAAGTTCACTATTCAACTACTGTTGAAGTCTAACTTGAAGAATTTTAAGCATTATTTTGCTAGTGTGTGAGCTGAGTGTAATTGTGCAGTAGTTTGAACATTCTTGGCATTGCCTTTCTTTGAGATGAGAATGAAAAATGACCTTTTCGAATCCTGTGGCCACTGCTGAGTTTTCCAAATTTGCTGATATATTGAGTGCAGCACTTTTACAGCATCATCTTTTAAGATTTGAAATAGGTCAACTGTAATTCCATCACCTCCACTAATTTTGATTCCAGTAATGCTTCCTCTGACTCAGTTGACTTCATATTCCAGGATGTCTAGGTGAGTGATCANAGTGGGTAGCCATTCCCTTCTCCAGGGGATCTTCCCAGCCCAGGGATCGAACTGAGGTCTCCTGCATGATGTACTCTGCATAAAAGTTAAATCAACCGGGTGACAATAGGCAGTCTTGACATATTCCTTTACCAATTTGGAACTAGTCCGTTGTTCCATGTCCAGTACTGTTTCTTCTTGACTTGCATACAGATTGCTCAAGAGGTGGGTAAGGTGGTCTGGTATCCCCATCTCATTAAGAATTTGCCACACTTTGATCCACACCATCAAAGGCTGTGGTGCAGTCAATAAAGCATAAGTAGATGTTTTTCTGGAAGTCTCTTGCTTTTTCTATGATTCAATAGATGTTGGCAATTTAACCTCTGGTTCCTCTGCCTTTATTTTTTTTTTTTTTATGAATAGTTTAGCTGAATCAGTTTCATTTTATCACATGAATGAATCAAATTTGATGGGAAAGTTGATAGGAGGAAAGAAGAAAAAGAAAATGATTTTGAGACCACAGGACTGTGACTGATGCTGTGAACTGTGGTAAGATATACACATTTATTGCTAAATTTTCTTAAGCAATGTCACTGCAGGGATACACGAGCCCTTCTTCACAAATCTACATTATCTCTTGGGTGGCTGCACTTTAGTTTCCTGGAAATACCTCTACTGCTGCTGCTGCTAAGTCGCTTCAGTCGTATCCGACTCTGTGCAACCCCATAGACGGCAGCCCACCAGGCTCCGCCGTCCCTGGGATTCTCCAGGCAAGAACACTGGAGTGGGTTGCATTTCCTTCCCCAATGCATTAAAGTGAAAAGTGAAAGTGAAGTCGCTCAGTCGTGTTCGACTCTTTGCGACCCCATGGACTGCAGCCCACCAGGCTCCTCCGTCCATGGGATTTTCCAGGCAAGACTACTGGAGTGGGCTGCCATTGCATTCTCTGAACTACCTCTACTCGATGGATCTAAATCAAACCCATCTCTATTTCCCCCAAAATCTGCAACCTCTTCCTTCAAACTATACAAGCAAGAAATTAGCAAAATACCCTATGTTACATATCCCTGTGAAAGTGAAAGTGAGTATCAGTCATGTCCAACTCTTGGCCACCCCAGGGACCACACAGTCCATGGAATTCTCCAGGCCAGAATATTGGAATGAGTAGCCTTTCCCTTTTCCAGGGGATCTTCCCAAGCCAGGGATACCAGGTTGCCCACATTGTAGGCATATTCTTTACCAGCGAGCCACCAGGGAAACCCAAGAATACTGGAGCGGATAGCCTATCCCTGCTCCAGGGGTTCTTCCCAACCCAGAAATCGAACAGGTGTCTCGTGTACTGGAGGTGATTCTTTTACCAACTGAGCTATCAGGAAAGCTCTTCCATGTAGGCCACCCATATTCCTGGATTGAAATGTAATTTCTGGGAGCCTCTCCTAAGAAAACATTCTCAAATACAGAGAATTTTCTACAAAGATATTAATTTCAGCATCATTCATAATGTGCAAAAATTATAAGGAATCTAAGCTTATGAGAATAAAAGAATGTTTAAAAACTATACTTTCTGCTATGTGGAAGCATTCTGTGAACATTAGCTTCCCTGGTAACTCAGATGGTAAAGAATCCACCTGCAATGCAAGAGATCTGGGTTCGATTCCTGGGTGGGGAAGATCCCCTGGAGAAGTGAATAGCTATCCACTCCAATATTCTGACCTGGAGAATTCCATGGACTGTATAGTCCATGGGGTCACAAAGAGTTGGACATGACTGAGCAACTTTCAGTTTCACTATGCAAACAATAAAAAGTTCTATTAACAATGGTTATGTAGCAATAAAAACAATACAAGCTATAAAATAAGTGAAAAACATTACAACTAAATATTTTTCAACAGAAAATTAGAATAAAAATAATTGCATCCCTTCAACAAAAAAGGAAAGAAAAATAAACAAATTATTAGAATAAAATAAGAGGGAGGAAACACACATGATGATATTTTCTTGCCAAGTACTCTACAATATCCATGTAGCTTTTTAAAAAAATCGGTATTATAACAAAAGCATTGCTTTAAATCCTATC